TTATCCATGATGAATGTAAGCGGGAGACGGAAATGGGGTATTTACACTAGTTGACGTAAAAATAGCTGCGTGGGCTTTTGTATGTAACCCTCCTCGTACAGCTCTTCCACGATTGATATTACATCATTTTTTACTCCTGTGTTGCCTGACATTTTTTCAACCCACAAAACCTCTAAGTCCCTAATGCACGCTATTCCAGTATTTGTATTCGATCGGTCGGTCGAGTTCCTTGAATAGAGTAACACCGCTTCCCGATTTCGCACGCCCCCTATTCGCCGCTTCCTCCTCCTTCAGTAGAGGCTTTATTATAAGCGTATACTTTTTGCTCTTATTGCCGCGAATCTGTTCGGTGGGATCGTAATTGCGTCGTGCGACATGAGTTGCTATTATTATCTGCTTATAGTTACTTCATCCGGTTCATTCATGATGATAAATTCGTATAGTCCTGCAGTACCTTTGTACCGGATCCCGTTAATGACCAAATCTTCGTCATCTATCGTCACCTCCGTCTTGCCCATTCTCCACTTATCCGTTTCGACATTATAATGAATTCCAAAGGTGGTGTCAATTGCATTACTCGTATCTCTTATCATGCGCTCAACGTAGGTATACGTGGTAGGTGTTTGTATTGTTCCAAAAATTCTCGCAAACCTTGCATATCATGTAATGAAGCAGATGATTCTGATGCGATAGAGGACTCTTCTTCTTCTTCCCGTTGATGCTCCCCTATCACTGTACTCTGTAGAAATGATGGCGGCTGTCTCAATGATGGAGTAACCGTGGGATGAAAAGGTCTAACCATAGGACTAACATCAGTTGGTGGATATTTTTGAAAGTAGGGAAGTCTAGCCAACGGACTCGGTAAGGGAAGAAGGCCTACAAACTGGTAAACAGATAAACTAGTAAACAACTGAACAGGTAAACAGATAAACAGCTATAACAGAAACAGATTTATTAAACAAACAGATATTGTTTACCTGTTTATCTGTTTACCTGTTTATCTGTTTACCTGTTTATCTGTTTACCTGTTTATCTCTTTACCTGTTTATCTGTTTACCTGTTTATCTGTTTACCTGTTTATCTGTTTACCTGTTTATCTGTTTACCTGTTTATTTCTGAAGCTGTTTATTTTGAAAGCTGTAGGTATACTTGATAGCCGTGTTTTTACAACTGAAAAATAAGCACGTTTTCACGGTACGTAGGTATTATACATAGTGAAACCTTTTCTGAAACGATCGTTTTGCACATAGGCATCCTTAGGGTATTAAGAGAAAGAATAAACGTTAAACTTTTATCGCTTTATTTACTAAAAAATTATGACATTGTATAATTGTTATGTATGTAATACACGTTTGCCAATGCACAATGACATTTTGGATAGGAATGATAATGATATAAACAGCTGGCTTCCAATTTAGGTAATGCAGGTTCCTCGTTGATCTCGACGACATCCTGCGATAAGGTTTTTCGTATAAATTCTGCCTTCTCCTTTCCCTTCACATATATAGCCTCCATTGGTGATACTAGCCGGCGAAGTATAATCGGAAATAAGTGGGGCGGTGTATGTCCTTCTTCCCATTTAATACAATGGTGGTTGTGCATCAGCCAGATTGCTTGTCTTTGATAGTTCACATCTAAGCTGCTAAATGAAAATGGAGGTTTGAACACAAAATGTGCAACTTGGTGCCCATTAAATACCGCCAACTCCTTTGGCGTAAATGTCGTTGTGGATGTTTTAAATCCTTGAACGCCAATAGCAATAACCATTTTCTGCTACCGATTCACCAACTGTTTCGAGCAGTATAGGGACTACTAGCACTACTGTACTGATTGAAAGCATCGCTAAGCTTATATTTTCAACTCGTGACCTTGAAAGTGGTTGACTGCGATGATTGGCGCTTGTTATATGTGAACTACCTCAGTTATTCCCAAAGGAATTGTATCAACGCCAAACAAATTCGGGTAGCGCGGGTTCCTGTTACGCAGAAAGAAGCCCTCGGCAGCGGTGGTGGAATTATCACAACTGCCAAAAATGAGGAGCTCATAAATATACACAGCCTCAATCTATTCACCTGTTACCTCTTCCTTCCGTTTCCAGTTCTCTAAATAGCATGACTCCACTGCTACGTCGATACGCGATTTATAAAGGGGCGAATTTCAAACGCGAAGCACATTACCGAAAAGGCCCCCAACCGTAATTCTAATTAGTTTTGCAGTGTCTAGGGGAAAATAGGATCTGTAACGTTGAATACCAAAATCTTAGACCAAAACGATGTGTACATTTGCTTATATGTATACTGTAATGTAAAAATAATTCATTGACTGACAGGCGGACATGCCATTGGATGTCACGGGGTACCTCATATATTCCTCAAAATAATTGCCCAAAGCCTCTCGGCGCGTAGGTAATGAACCACTTCCCACCTCGGTATGTAATCTAATACTTTTGGGAATGTTTATTTTAGGTGTGTAAGAAATTGTTTTGCTATTATAGGTGTTATAGGGGGGAGCGCCGTTAAGAGAGCTTTCTTATATACAGTTTATTTTTTAAATAATTCATGCACATCTTTTTTCTACATGCTAAATTCCTGCGCCCATCCTATCAGCACTCGTTATGAAGACTTATTTCTAAGGGGCAAGTAGTTATTGAAATCGGTTATCCACCTTAAAATATTTATGAAATCATCATGGTAGAACATACGCACATGCTCGGATGCGACTGTGATTATGCAACCACACTAGCCCCATTCTGCATTCGGAATAGTATGATACTGTGTTTAGTTGCATTAACTGCATCTTCGCGAAATGTCGGATGCAGTGTTGCAACCATACTAGCTCACTTCTGCATTCTGGGTTGCATAACAAAGCTATTAATTTACATCTTTCAATATAAATATATTTTAAAAGTGAACTTAAGAAATTCTTCAACACATTGAAAATCCTTCTTTCCAAGCGCCTCTCTTTTGGAAGAGTCCAGTTGTTTTGTCGACGGTTTGCGCATCCACCAGTTTGCAGCGGTATCCATATTTTTTTGGCCCGTCCGGCCAGTTCCTTACAGGTTGGTCGCTTCCAGAGCCGAAAAGTAGGCCGACGCTTTTCATTAGGTCTTCTTGACCTCCTTTTAGCCGCTCGGGAGTTGTTGATGTGGTTGTGTGACTGTAATCAATTATCGATTACGGTTCTACAAAATATTTCCACAAAAACTTACGGTACATTCGTAGGATTGGTTCCACACCACCTGAGTAGATATTAATTGAAGGGCATGCGATGGTGCTGGTATCCAAAAGTGATAAAGCTATGCAAAAAGAAAGCTGCAGCAGCAACTCCATTCTATCTGTGCTATGACCCTATTCGAAATGTCCCCCCATATTTACTGTAAACGAGTTATTATTTTTAACATGAGTGCGCAAAAATAGTAGGGGTGGGAGAGAAATATAAAACAGTTTGTACCTACTTCCGCAATAGTTGACCAAATTTTTTAATTATTAGATTCAAATTATCGTCGTCCTTCCGCCTTCGTATAATACCGGTGGGAAGCGGGAGGTCGCCGGGGGTGCACTGCCACTGCGTTTTTCTGCAGTCCTCGCATTATTTTAGTTAGGGACTGTTGTTGTTAATTTGGTTGCCGTTTTTTTTTTGAAAATTCTTCCTTTGCATTCCCGGTTTTTGGTTGTAAGGTTTGGATACTTTTTCGCCATGACGTATGTCAGAAGAGAGACGCGAATGAACTAATGGAAAATTTCAACCAGTGTCTTTAGCGGAGATAAGAGGGATGAGCTACATGATGCTTGCAACAGACGTCTTTGTTTCAACACCTGCAGGGTCCCGGGGGGAATGTATTCGATTTAGATTCCAAAGTACAAGCGCACTATACAATTTTTCTTTGGTATACTTTTCTAATTTTCCAATTATACCTATAGCGCAACTTGCCGGTTTACCTACTGTAAATGAAGATTTACTAATATTCGTATTTACCCTCTTATACGTACCTACTCTTATTTAGTTCCATACGTATGTCTACAAAATATAGATTGTCAATGATAAGCAATTCGTGGAAACCAATTACAGCCACACGTAAATTATATCCTTGCTTTTTGGAAATTTTCCCCCCCGAGCAATGTAGTGTCTTTTATATAAGAACAAGGAAAACGCGATGTAGGTGCATAAGTACGTATATATATAGGCAAATGCCCCCCACTAAACGCTAATCGAAAAGGTGCTTATCTAACTGCTGCTGCTGCATTTCTTTACTGCCTTAACTATTGCAAAGCATTCTCGCGAAGTAATGATTAATTAAAAGGTGATGGGGAAAAAATAACTCTTCCAACTTTTTGACAAAAAACAAACGACTCGCAAAATCCTGTCATTGTTTTTTGGTGTTCCGCTAACAGCTAACTGGCCAACTGCGCTTTATAGACAGATATTACGAAAAAAACCAATTTAAAATTTATTTCGTAATGTCGTAATGAAGGGCTACCGCAAAATGCGATACTGTATTGTAGTTCTCCGAAACCACTATTTCTAATGAGGAATGTATATTACGAAATGCTAGTAAGTACGTCCAATATTAATTACCCTAACGAGAAATGTTTCATTTGATTTTGACCAAAACTACTTAGCCTAAAGAATAAATAGGTGACTTCCTTGACGTATTTACCACGTAAGGCGTTTTCAAAAAAACAAAGCGCCCTTGTTTCCGACCGTTATTCCTGGAAATGGGAGTATGCATTTCAGATCTAAAACAAAGATGTATCGTTTTCTCACTCGTTACACGTTCCGTCTTTAGTTTTCCGCTACGATCGCAATTTGCCTCCTATTTACTGTAGTTAAACGTAAAATGCGCGCGCGAGTCACACGCAATATGACATCACGAAAATTCTCAACGTTTCGAGCATCGGGCGCGAAAATTTCGCAACAAACGTTTCTAAAGCCACCTGTCGATCAACAACGGCCATCAACGACACGTTGGTGTTGGCTCCAGAAATAAACGCTGTGGTAAACAACGTGATGTCTCTTAGGTAAATTCGTATCAAAATGGGATTCCATTGAAATAGAGGCCCCTGTCATCAAAATCAATTCGCCCCACGATTGTGTTAAGTATACAACATTACTCTGATACCTTTTGAGTTGGGGCATTTAGATACTACGTTAAAAAGTAATTGTTTTCTTGTTTTTACAGAACAGAAAATGTAGTGGACACACATCCGTAGCGCGGTTAGAATGAGGGTCTGCTACAGATTTTCTGTTTGCCTGGTGAGTTTTTTAGTACCTTCAATAAACGATTTTTTTCATTCTCCAATTTTCTTTTTTTAAAAGTTGAACGTAATCCCTCAAATTGCTGGAAACGATGAGATCACCTAAACTGCCTCCACCACCAACCGCTCCGGTGGAGGTCATGATTGAAACTTTATCGTAACGGGCGAATTATTGATTACAGGGACGCAAAACAACTTGAATCTCCCTCGATGCCCTTCGTCGTTTTGCCGCACCAAAGGTAGGTACGTTGTGGTTGGAGCCCATTTAACGATCCAAGGGATATTCGCAACCCACACCTTCGGGGGGGATTGCAGCGCAAACTAAATGTTTCAACACAAGAGGCGGGATGGAATTCAAAGAATGGCATTTTTTTTTCTTAATGAAACACGATTATTTGTAGTCTAATGGTTTTATTTACAACACTATTTACATAATCTTTTTTCAAAAATAGCTAATGTTTACATAAATTTTAAGTTTGTGGTCTTTCCTAACGGTCCTGCACTTGTAATGAACACCTCGTTTGTCTTCAAGGATTCTTGGAACTCGCTCAGCCGATTACCTACTTTGAAATACTCGTAGAACCGCAGTGGGAGTACGCATTTATAATTTTCTGTTTCCAGTACTATTCGGTCACCATACTTTGTGTTTATGATATCGATATTCAGAATTTTAAACTTTTCCTCCACTTCCATATCCTTTACGTTCTTAAATGCTTTACAGAATGTTCCATTGTTGAGCGCATTAAGATCCATTTTTTAACTGTTTGGAAAGCACTATCGGACTGAATGAAAAAAAACGTTCTGCAGCTCACCTTATATTTCCAAAGTGTGACCTTGAAATCTACAGTAATAGATTTCTGCACGGAGATAGAATTGTTAGCCCGGACGCAAACCTCGAAAGCAACTTAGTGTGATTTCGACCCATACATTATCGAGAGTAGCTTTACTAGTTTTACAAACCCCAGTCCAGAACCGTACAAGCAAAACATTCGAACCCACGCAGCACAGATACAAACCTAGTTACTTGAAGGCCCCCCGATCAAATTATCCTATCCCGGAAGTAAACCACCACGATCAAATTGCCTTAAACGACCTTGAAACTTCACCGTAACCTGACAACAAACCTCCGACCCAAATAGCTCGGACGCAAACCCCAAGAACCCTCGACTCTGGCACAAACCAAATTACTTTACCTCGAACGCAAACCTCCGATACTTTATCTCGACCCCCTTGACGTTACCACAGGCGCAAACCTCGCTAGCGCAGTTCAGAACAACTCAATCCTAATGACTTTTCTAGGGGGATTTTAGTGTGATTTAGAATCACCCGTACACTACCATCGACAAGAACCCTCAGGCGCAAACCGAATTACTTTAGCTCGGACGCAAACTTCCGATACTTTATCTCGAGCACAAACCTCGACCCCCTTGACGTTAACACAGGCGCAAACCCCGCTACCACAGTTCAGAACCACTCAATTCTAGTGACTTTTCTAGGGGGATTTTTCATCTAGTGAGATTTAGAATCGGCCGTACACTACCATCGACAACACAACCCTCAGGCACAAACCGACTTACTTTAGCTCTGACTTTGAGAACGCGTTAGCTTAGACCCACTTTAGTTCAGGACACAACCCGCGTTCAACTCTTAGCTCGGACACAAACCTCCGATACTTTAGCTCCGACGCAAACCTCGATCCCTTGACCTTAGCACTGACGCAAACCTCGCCAGCAGAGTTACAAACCTAGTTACTTTTCTAGTGACTTTTTGATTTAGAATCGACCCCTATATCACTAGCAGAGTTTCAAACCTCTCTAGTGACGCAGAGTTTCAAACCTTGTTACTTTTCTACTGACTGTTAGCAGAGTTTCAAACCTCTCGTGACCTTCTAGTGACTTTGAGCAGAGTTTCAAACCTAGTTACTTTTCTAGTGACTTTTTTCACATCTAGTGACTTTTCTAGTGACTTTTGAGTTAGAATCGGCCTTATAACACTACTCGCATCATCGATCCGTTAAGTTCAATTCATTCACTCGCACAAATATCTAAAATCAATACACCATTGTCTCTCACTCCTATCTCAGATAACATAGGCAACCACAGCATCGTAACATTACTACGTAAGTTCAAAGATATAACAGTGGAGAAAATATTTTCGCCCGACACTGTGAAGCATAACGTTACACATGTTATTGAAACTAAAGGTGCACCAGTAACATCAAAAACAAGAAGACTTTCTACGGAAAAACTGAAAATCGCTAAGGATCAATTCGAGTTCATGATGTCCCAAGGAATTTGCCGGCCATCGGATAGCGAATGGGCCAGTCCACTTCAATTAGTTAAGAAAACTAACGGCCAGTGGAGACCCTGTGGAGATTACCGTGGTCTAAATGCGGTCACAGTCCCCGATAGGTACCCCATACCACTCCTAAGTGATTTTACACACAATCTGAATGGATGCAAGATCTTCTCCACACTGGATTTAGTGAGAGCGTATCATCAAATACCAGTTGAACCAAGCGATGTCCCCAAAACCGCCATATCAACACCGTTCGGGTTGTTTGAATTTACTCGCATGACATTCGGTTTGCGAAATGCAGCACAAACATTTCAACGGTTTATACACTCGGTTTTACGCGGATTAGATTTTTGTTTTTCTTACATTGACGACATTTTAATCGCTTCTACAAACGACGTAGAACATCTGAAACACATCGAACAAGTTTTCCAACGTCTTCAACAGTATGGCCTTGTCATCAACACAGGAAAGTGCGTATTTGGGCAACCCGAAGTTACATTTCTCGGGCATTCTGTTAATGAGAATGGAATTGGACCGGCACAAGGACGTGTACAAGCCATCGTAGATTATAAACCACCACGAACCGTTAAGGACCTAAGAAGATTCCTAGGTATGCTGAACTTTTATAGAAAGTTTTTACCGCAAGCTGCTCGAAACAAGCACCACTCACTGATCTTTTGAAAGGTTCTACAAAAAATGACAAAACTAAGATAGAATGGTCCACCAGCTGTCGCACAGCATTCGAAGAGACCAAACGACAACTAGCAGAAGCAACAGTTTTGGCTCACCCAATACCTGAAGCTAAACTAGCAGTAATGGTAGACGCATCGGACATAGCGATTGGTGCAGTCGTCCAGCAGGCAGTACGAGGCCATTGGCAGCCCCTCAGTTTTTTTTCCGCAAAACTTACCGACACGCAACGTCGATACAGCGCATACGACAGGGAATTATTGGCAGCGTATTCAAGCATTAAACACTTTCGACCCATAATAGAAGGCCGTCCGTTCACATTATTTACGGATCACAAGCCGCTCACATATGCCTACCGACAAAAACCGGAGAAGGCATCCCCAAGACAACAGAGACACCTCGATTTAGTGTTCCAATTCACCACAGATATCCAACATATTTCGGGTAAAGATAACGTGGTAGCGGACACACTTTCGCGAGTGGAACAATTATCAATTCCTAGTACCATTAATTATGAGGAGCTCGCAGATGCACAAACGACGGATGACCAGCTCACAAAACTTTTACAAGGAAGTACAACGTTGCAACTCAAACGGATCTCGATACTTGGAACAAATAAAACAATTTACTGCGACGTTTCAACAGGACACCAACGCCCGTACGTACCGAAGAAGTTCCAAAGAACAGTTTTTGAAAGCGTCCACAAATTAGCTCACCCAGGTATAAGATCCGGCATAAAGACCATAACAAAAAATTTTGTATGGCATAATATGAAACGCGACATCCATCACTGGACAAAAACGTGCCCCAACTGCCAAATTGCAAAAATAACACGCCACGTAAAATCACAAGTTGGAAAATTTCCAGAAAATATCAGGAGATTTGAACACATCCATCTAGACATAATAGGCCCACTACCAACGTCTGAAGATAAGCGATACTGCGTAACGTTAATTGACCGATATACGCGATGGGTCGAGGCAGTACCCGTTGCAGACATCCGAGCAGAAACAGTAGCTCGTGCCGTATTTGACAATTGGATAACGCGATTCGGGACACCAACTACCGTTGTCACCGACCAAGGTCGCCAATTTGAATCGGCCTTATTTTCTGAACTCGGTAAATTAATAGGATTTAAACGACAACGCACAACTGCATACAACCCGCAAGCCAACGGTCTCATCGAGAGATGGCATAGGACTTTGAAGACCGCAATCACATGTCACAACCAGCAGAATTGGACACGGATACTTCCGATTGTCTTGTTAGGATTACGCACGGCATTCCGCGAGGACTTCAATTCAACGTCGGCAGAACTGGTATATGGAACAACTATAAATTTACCAAGTTGCTTCGTAACCTGCGACCAGAGCTCTCAATCAATACAATCAGAGTTTGTGGTACAATTACGCAAACATTTCAATGAAATGCAACCCATTCCTGCGACCAACCACGCCAAACAATCCGACATCTTTGTGTTTCGAGAGTTGTCTAGCTGCTCACACGTACTGGTAAGGAAAGACTACGTACGATCTCCATTACAAGCACCATACGAAGGCCCCTATGAAGTGCGAGATCGAAATGATAAACATTTCACTATAGAAGTTAAAGGAAAACTCAGACATGTTTCCATCAACCGACTAAAACCATACTTTTGCGAGAGTAATGATTACACTCAAACTTCCTCACATTCTGGCCCGACACCGCATAGTTTCATCGAAATGCCAGATAAACCTAAGGTGAGATTCGCAGATACCCAATGATCACAAAAGCGGAAAGAATTGTCAAACCAACGAACAAATCGCTGACGTGACGTTAAATCGTGCATTAGCATGCACTGGCGGGGGAGTACTGTGGCGATCCATGGGTGGATCTGAAACAGTAGTTTTTTAGTTTACATGGTGATAATTTGAATATGTCATTTAATCAAATATAAAAATATTATTAGTGTTATTTAATTCTATTCTAAACGCTGAATAGTGACCACACTACAGCAACATAAAGTTGATGATTTTTCCGAAAAGAAACGTTGAATTGAAAATCTCTCAACGCTATTATGGAGCTCAAATAGTGGCAATAAGAAAGTATTTTTGCTATTTTTTGTATCTGTACAAATAACAGAAAAAATTAAAAACAAAACCGGAAATCTTCGGTTTTTCTGGCATACCTTCGGAACTAACCGGAATTTTCTGGCTTGGACAGACTGTAGCTTATATTAGGACAAGGACGTTGTGCCC